TAAAACAAAACATGCCTTCCTTCTATCTATAAGGATTCTGATTGGTACAAGAAACATATAAGGATATGGCCCAAGGGGCACGGGAGGACAAGACACTTCCTGAAAACTCCACCAAAGTATCCAACATCACGGATGGGCTATCAGATCTGATGCAGCTTTGACAGTAGAATGCAGATCTTAAGACCACACATTTTAAAAATCACCCCAGAAAGTGGCTACAATGCAGGAAATAAATTGCCAGGTACAGCTTAACGGTCACACAAAATTGTTGCACTAATTCCCTGTGAACAAAAAGATATTATTTTATGTGCTTCTTGGAAGAATTAAAGTCTCAGAAATCTTTTCCCTATAAATCCAAGCACTGCTTCTTTAGCCCACTACTGTATTTGTAATAAGTATGTTCCTTCCACCAAGAAACATACCCATAGCGTCCGATGTCCCAAAAAATAAAGTGTGCTAATTCTAACATTTCAATGTGATCTTTCAAATTCAAATGTTTACTGGTTTGAGTTCATTCCAGTATCTTATTAATCCATTGTGTTGAGAAAATAATCATTTTATTTCTATTGCTGTGTCTCTTTTTTCAACACATTTTATTTAAGCGCTGTACCAAAAAGCTATGGAGTCAGAACCTTAGACATTAAAAACTACTCCAACTTTGTCACCGATCAGGGTGAGGAGATGACCTCATACACCACACCCAGATAACTGGACCTTCAAATTTTGAAAGGGGTGTGTGTGCTCTGTTCATAGCAAACACTTCACCCACAAGAGGCAATACTTAAAACTTCCACAGTGCTCATAACACACACTTTTGTTTTACCAGCAGCAGATATGACACATACTCTTTCAGAAAGTTCAGTCACCAAAGTTAATCTTATTCAGTAGCCAAAACATTTTAAAGAAACCAATTGCTTATTACATGGACATCTTGTGTAATCTTCTACACACAAGGAGGATGGATTGAAGCAATTTCTTCACATATCTCTTTGAGTTGTAAGCTAGTCTACGTTAACATTTCAGATACTTTGTCAAATCAATACTAACGTTGTCAGAAATAGGGGTTTCATTCTCATATAACGTTTATGTTAAAGTTATTCTACTTATCTGTTTAAGCATAAACTAATATACATTTAAAAATACACTTCTCTTTTGGTTTATTTTTCTTTCATCTGGAAAGGGACTCCTCCATTACACAGCAGGCTTAGTCATATATATATATGAGAGACTATATATAAAAGACCCTGTATATATACTGTGTTTCCCCAAAAATAAGACAGGGTCTTATATTAATTTTTGCTCCAAAAAACGCATTAGAGCTTATTTTCAGAGGATGTTTTATTTTACAGTCATGTCATCTTCTCGTCGCTGCATAATGTTGCACAATGGTGGAGGGCGGGGTTTCACTTAACTAGGGCTTATTTTTGGGGTAGGGCTTATATTATCAGCATCCTGAAAAAATCATACTAGGGCTTATTTTCAGGTTAGGTCTTATTTTCGGGGAAACGGTATACACACTCACGCACACATGCGTACGTACACATCCACACACACACGTACACCCCTCCCTCTCTCTCTCTCTCTCTCTCTCTCTCTCTCTCTCTCTCTCTGTGTGTGTGTGTGTGTGTCTACAAAATGTGTATGTGTGTGGCTACAGAATAAACGGCAGGGGTTTCCCACAATGGAAAATACATTACATTCATATTGGAGCTGATTATTTCAAGTAAATAATTCAGTTCTCCTTTTCAGCAACAACTTAATGCAATACCTACAAATTCAGTACAGGACGTTTACAGACATATACACACAAACTAGCACACCATACTATTAATGCTTTTATCAGAAGCGCCATGGCCAAAGGAACTGCTACCATCTGAATAGCATTTAATAGGATGTCATACTCATGCTTTGAGATACAAACACAGATACTGTACTTATATTAAAACACCAGTATAAATTACTCAAATACACACTTTTTCCTGGTGGGGGGAATAATTTATTTATTTCTCCTTGCATATAAAGTAGTAGAAAAACTTTATCCAGGACTCTGCAGCACCCTCGTGCCACAGGATAGGACATATTTTTGAATGGGTTTGGCACAGTGTACACATCACACAACTGCAACAAAAGGAAATGGCCTGTCTCTATTCACCACTTTGAATTATTTTCCACCTCCAATACATATGTAAATCCCATTGTTTCCAAATGGCACTTTTGTGGATACATTGAAAAGAGAATAGACTGTTTATGATTAGTCATTTTAAGCAACATTCTGCCCAGAAGAATAGGGATACTGATAAATATGCAGCTGAAGCGCCTCAACTATTAAGGACAATTCTTTCCTTTCCACCACCCCCTCAATCTCGCATAACCAGAGAGCTAAACATGCTGCTGGTGTAAATAGGCAGATTTTTCTGACCTGGTTACTACCTAGTGAGAACTCTGAACCCCTAGGAGAATTCTGTCAATTACCACTGCTCTAGCTTTTTGAAAAGGCAGGGGGTGGATGAGAAGGTCATAGCTACATTCCTGGGTACAGAGCATCATGAAAATAAGTATACAAACAAACAGTAAGGATGCCAATTTCACAGCACTGTAGCATCACAAACAATTAGGAGGAGATAAATGGACAAAATCAAGCAATGGTCAAAATACAGGACTGGTTTTCAAGCGCAGCTCTATGATGAGAACTTCAACCCTGGCGCAAATATTGTTGGCACTGTGTGGCAGGACACTTAACAGCTCTCCCCCACCCCACTCCAAGAAAAGGCAGTATGAAGTTGTAGTTGTGAAAGTCTAGCTTTAAAAACTTTCCCTTCCTTTCAATATTCTCCTCTGTCTTTAGCACTTTCAAAAATTACTGGACCAATTGCAACTTTAAACATTAGTTTAATTGAAATTCAAAAGGGCATGTCTGCTCAATATACAATCTAGACATAGTTGTACAGCATTTTAGTTTAAGCAATGTATTTCACAGCAACATTTATATCTTACTTAAGTTCAGTCACAGGAAAGTGCAGTCCTATAAATCACTACACAGATATAAGTCCAAAGGTTTTCAGTGGGGCTTAACCCCACGGAGTTATGTTTTGGATTGCAGTTTAAAATCTTAATTTACTATTAATTTAATCTTAGTTTGCAGGGGGATGGGGATGGGGGAGAGGGAGAGAGAGAGAGATTACAGATTTGGGAAAATGTTTCCAGATTCTTTCTTCACATATAGAATAGTTTGAGATTACTTTGAATGGAATAAATATATGAGGATATTCCAATGATTTAAAACTAGGAATTCCACAGCAAGAGCACTGAATTTATTTCATCAGTTAAATTTCAACATCTAGGACCTACCATGTCCTGAAGTCCAACACATCCCAACAAACTGTACATTTCTTGTTATTACTATTATTACTATTAACTGCATCATTCAGCATTGGAATCAAGACTCCTGCCCAAATTTTTATAGTTTTCACAAGTTGATTTATTACAATTACAATTTGAACATATGCACAGAAGTCTTCACAATCTGGTTTAATCAAATGAATTACAAATTCGGGCATATTCAAAGAGCTTTAGTAAAAGTTACCTTTGCATAATGAGGCACTGCTGCATTTTAAGAGAAATTTCACTGCAGTTGATCCAGTGACAAGTGCTCTTCCAATTTAAAGTTTACTGTCTCTCAGTTATATTGTTTACCTGGTTTCTCCTTACTAATGCCAGTTATAAAAATCCTAGTTAGCGACAACAGATTAGAAAAAGAATACAAAAGCATACACTATATACTAACTACTTGGCAAACTGTATGGAGATATTTAAAAGCTAGTCAAACTATATCATTATAGCATTTCCTCTTTTCTATGTTAAGCAACCACATTAAGCTTTTCCTTGTGTCTACAATCTCCAAAAGAAACAGAATGTCCATTCAAGAAACAATAATGCACATTCAGTAAAAGATTTTAAAAATGAATACTGAAATCCTATGAACGCTGAAAGTGCACAAACAAGTCAAAATACATACACTATATTAGTTGTAATTAGAGGCTTAATTCAAAGACCCCGCTTTTCTAGCTAGAAGTGTATATATATTTAGGAATGCAGAGAATACATTAAGAAATCTTCATGTTGGAAATGAACAAGCTTGAAAAAGAAGCAAATTGTCACAGAATAAAATGTCACCATTTCAGTTAGAAAATATTTCTCATCAAGAAGCCACTTCCCTTGCTTTTGCAAAACTTCTCTTAACATCTCATCGTGCTCAAGACAAAATTAATACCTATTCCACTTCAGCTTTACCCCCTCTCCTTAAAACCTGTCAGCAAAGCAAGGGCAATAGCATCATATTTCAAATCATCACAGTCACAAGAAACAAGGAAAAGCCAGTTTCTCTTTTCTTAAAAGCCTTGCAAAATAAATCTAAAAACAAAATAAACCTCACTGCTCCTCAAATATGTGATACACACCTAACGTTCTGTGCTGTGAGCAAGGTGGGAAGAAGACACTTGCACTTAAATCTTGAAGCATCCCGTCCTGATGAACCCAGAGAAACTATGTTCTGCCATCAGAAAAGTACTTCCACCAGAACACCAAACAATTGTATGCACTGCTCTAAAGGAAAGAGCAAGCCCAGTTCTGGCTGTATGCAGTCTCCTGAGGTACAATAATATAAACCTGATCAATTGCAATTAAAATCTGAAGAGAGGCTTGGAACTTGAAGTCTTGGTGCATTAGTTCTTGCCAAAAGCAGATGTGATTGTGAGCTGGAAGCAATTTCTCCTGGTAATTTGTGATGACATTGGGTAGAGCAGCCCCAGAGTCCCCAAAGACAAACTCATCAGAGGCTCTAATGTATGCATGACACATGAGGTGGCTCTTTTAGAGCTCAATTAATTGGGCTGAACATTAAGACAGCAAGTTCAGGACACTTTCCCCCTCCCCCTTTCTTCCAGAGTTAGGATTCCCCCCCCCATTTTTCCCCCTTTTTTTGCAAAGACTCTCCTCCTTACCTTCTGCAAGCCATGTCTCCTGTAATTGGCTCAGATCTTGAAACAGTTCTAGGAAAAGAGGAAGAGATGGATAAAGGACGTGTGTATTACTCATTTTAAAATAATGCTTAAATATGCACTCTCACTAGCTCTTCTCTTTTCCCCCCAAAGACTTGTTAATTCTCTTTTGGCTAAACGTGCATAGATCCCAATCACAATGAATTATGATTATTATTATTTGGACTCTGTAAAGAACATGGGAGTGATTCTATTTTACTGAGCAGTACTGATCAGTTCCTTTTCGAACTAACCTGTACAAATGAACACACAATTTCTGTTTCAATTTCTGCAGCCCGAGGCACGCACACTTCTCAGTAAGTTCCCCTGAAGTAACAGGGAATCCGGAATGGACATGCCCAGGATGGTGTTCTTAGACATTTACACTCCCTGCACAATTATGTGTGTGCCTACTCTAAAGAAAGCAGCATTCAGTCCAGTCTCATAGGATTCTGAAGCTTTTAAAGACAGTGTGCACAAAACTGTGTAGCTTTTTAAGAAACACTCACAGATCTATTTCAGCCTTGTCTTTGACAAGCAGCACTACAAAAATGGTAAAGTAAAACCCATGCATTATTTTTTTTAGGCAAGGCAGTTCCATATCAAAATAAAACAAAGTTTTTTAATATAAACTTCATCTGTTTATTTTATTTCAGGAACAGCATTCAGTGTGTTTTAGTTGATATGCACCAAAGTCTGTATCTGTGCAGAATTTGAACCCAATGTTTGCATTTTTCAAGAATGAAGTCATTCTGGTTTAAATGTATTGTCTGCAAGGCTGAAACAGTTACCTCAACTTGTGAAGCTATCTATCCAAATAATCAAAATGTCCCCATTACAGAAAGAGGGTTGGGTAAAAAAACACTTACCAATACTTACCAATACTTACCAGTTCCAAATTATTGCCTATCATACTCTGCAGGCTCAGTAGATATTTAGGATGTGTTGGTTGCTGGGGTCCCCAGTGAATGAACACTGTCTCAACTGCTGAATATAATTTTAAGGACTCTGAATCCAGATAGGACCTTAACTGCTTTGCTTGCAGTCTGAGTAAAGTTGCGCAGGAGCCATGCCCATGGGCTTTTGTTACAGGGTACAGACAATGAAGAACAGCAGAGCTGTGTCTCTGTAGAACAGCTGATCTTTTCACTGCACCAGGGTTTGCATAAATATCCCTATCCTGTAAGCCACGTGTTACAAGTGACACTTCAGAACACTGGAATAAACTCTGGAAGTTGGTCCTGTGCAGTTAGTTGCAAAGAAAGAGCTTGTGAGGAGGGTTATAGTGTAGGAGCATCGTGTCCCGATTTCCCCTGAAATTTCTATGGTGTTGTCAAATGTATTACTAAAATCAAGAGAACAGTGAAACGAAGGCCTCTATTCTTTCCTCACTTTGCTCGTGTGGTCTACACTCTGATATGGGCAAGTGGTCAGTGGGAGGTTTTTCAGCATTTCTCCAGAAATGAAGTGGCAGGACAAGGAAATTTAGGAGTATGGAGGGTGGCAAGGCCTAAAAAAAAAAAGAGTTGTGTGTATATCCTTTCAGGAGCCCTCCTTTCAAATGTTTCCAAGTTCTTGCCCCAGGTGTGCGACATTATTTATGTCCCTATGGAACAGCAATATCTAACACAGAGAAGGTGAGCCAAGAAGGTACAGCTAGTTAGTGAGGAACTGATTTTATCAGGTGGTGTCATATCATTAAACATGGTTTTCCTCCCTCATTTCTATAAATAGATGCAGACAAGAATCCAGAACTGGTGGAGCATGGAGAGGGAATTTAACATGCACACACATGTACACCAAAATATTAAAAACACATCACAGAGCATCTTGATCCTAACAGGGAGAGCCAATGCAGTTTCTTCAAACACACACTTACACACCCTAGAGATCCTCACCTTCTGAATCATGAGCCAGATCTCTGTTAATGAATTTTCTTTTCCTGACATTTGTTGGTCGCTCATTACAGTTTCTCCCACAGGGATGCTACAAATAGAGAAGACTGGTTATTCTTTTTTTAAAAAAAAATGGCAAGTCAACAATCCACACTAGTAAACCTTTAGAAAATATTTTTTTTTAAGTATTAAGATAAAGATAGCTTTCCAATTGACACAAGGGCTAATTTTGGACTAGTTTACAAGAAATATTTGTCTCAAGCCACCTATCCAAAAAAAAAAAAAACCCTGCTTAGATTACACTTTTCAATGCAACACAATATTAAGCATAGGAAATATTTTTAGCCATTTGCAGTGCTAGGACCTACGCCACCATATTTTTTAAATAATCAACCCCTTCATTTAAGCTTGTTGAAAGAACAAGGAAATGATAACAATAGGTTGTTTTACTTTTTAGGTTTATTTGTGAAAATGCTTCCAAAGCCCTTCAAAAAATAGTCAGGGTTAAAAAGGTAGAGCTGTTTTCTTTCTTCTCTGGGTGCCAAGCAAATATAGACAGAAACTTTGAAAAGAGCTCCCAGCTGCTCTCTTTTTCCATTAACAGTGGAGAGAGAAAGGTACGCTTGTTTTTATCCTGCTAGGAACCGTATTCAAAAGAAAAGTCAGAATTCACTGAAACAGAAGTCCATCTTGCAAGTAAGCTACAGGAAATCTACACCCGAAGTATAGCAAATAATTTCTCCGGCAAAAGCTTTTCTCCTCCTCTCCCCCTTCCCCATTTCACCGTTGCCCCCATTCCCAGAGAGACCCAAAGTTTAAACAACTTCGGAACTGATCACTCACATTGGTGACCATGTAAGGCACTTGCTGGTCATAAAATCCGTCCATTCTGCAGCCTTTAGAGGAGTATTATTTTTTCAAAAAATGCTGTTGTTGTTTTCTGGACATTGGACTTTTGAGATTTCCTCCAGATGCAGCCTCCAAGCAGCCTTAAAAAAAAGCACAAACAAAAAAACGAGAACACAAAATGGCTTTTAGAATTTTTTTCCCTCCCTCCTAAAAAAAAAGTCATGAATGAACCGCTTAAATTTGCATAGCTAATGATCCTCCAAGAGTCCCATTCATAAACAGACAGCCATCCACAGAGAGAGGGAGAGGGAAAGAGAGAGAGCCCTCCTCCTCGGCTTGCCTTCCTCCGGGTGACAAGCAAGAGCCGGAAAAAGACAGCCGGAGATAGGAAAGGACTTTTTTTCTTTTTCTAAAAGAAGAAACCGAATCGGGGAGGAAAGCTATTTATTGACATGCTCAGGTTGTGGAGCAGTGAGGTGGGCGCGCGTTATTTTGTTTTGTTTGGAGCTGTGGGTAGGTGGCAGCCCGGCCACTCGTGTGCCCAACTCGTAATGGCGCACTCCGAACGACTCGCGTTGCACCTAACGGGAGTAACAAAAGAGACACAGAGAGCGAGCAAAAAAATAAATTAATTAAAAAAGCACAGAGAGAGAGAGAAGGCGGAGAGCTGCCTCCTCCTTCCAAACCACAACCCCAGAGCCACGGACAACAACAACAACAACAACAAAAGTT